GGAAGTACATGAGGCAGGGGCCCAAGGTGGGAGGGGGGTGGTGCTTGTTCTGTGGGGGTGAGGTGGAAGGAGGGTGGTGCTTGCATTTAGGGTGTAGTGGAGGAGGAAGAAGGCAAGGCTGGAACACGGTTGGGGCTGAAACCTGGGGAGGCCCTGCTGACAGGGTCTGCATATACTTGTGGCTCCCCAGTTCAATTCCATATAGTAAACGGGCAACCCCTTGGGTAGATGTGGGCACGTGGTGAGCACTTTGTGTGGCCAGCACCTCGGAGGTCCAGGGGCTCTGGTGTGATAAGAGTGGTGTGTTTGCTGTTTCCTGCTTTAAGTATGAGTCAGCAGAGTGATTCTTTTTGCTTAGCTTGCCTGTACAATGGTTGGCTGCCTGTGTGCTCAGATGCGTGTCCCAGGACACCAGCTGTGTCTGCTGGTGCTTCTTGCACCACAGGCGTGGCCACTGGCTCAGGGATATTGGGTTGCTGACTGTATTTTCCTTCTCTATTCTAAGCGCTCACTCTGGTACTCGTCTACATCCCCACCCTTGAAAACCTCATGCCCTTCTGACTTCTGGTTCTAGTGTGCCATGGACTTGAACACTTTATTAGAATTGCATGATGTTTAGAATTAATGATGTTTACAATGAACTGTTGCTGTGATGCTGGAAGCTATGCCATAAGTGTTCAAATACCAGCAGGGTCACCCTTGGTGGGTAGGTTTCACTGGAACTTCCAGACTAAGACAGCTAGGAAGAAGGACCTGGCGGTCTACTACTGAAAAAATTGGCCAGTGAAAACCTTATAGATAGCAGTGGAACATTGTCTGATGTTGTGCCAGAAGATGAGCCCCTCAGGTTGGAAGGCACTCAAAAAACAACTGGGGAAGAGCTGCCTCCTTAAAGTAGAGTTGACCTTAATGACGTGGATGGAGTCAACCTTTCGGGACCTTCATTTGCTGATGTGGCATGACTCAAAATGAGAAGAAACAGCTGCAAACATCCATTAATAATTGAAACATGGAATGTATGAAATATTAACCTAGGAAAATTGGAAATTGTCAAAAATGAAATGGAATGCATAAAGATGAATATCCTAGGCATTAGTGAGCTGAAATGGACTAGTATTGGCTATTTTGAATCAGATAATCATATGGTCTACTATACCATAAAACCAAACCAAACCGATTGCCGTCAAGTCCATTGCGACTATTCTGGAAATAACAAATCGAAGAGGAGTGACATCACATTCATCATCAAAAAGAACATTTCAAGATCTGTCCTGAAGTATAATGCTGTCCGTGATAGGATAATATCTATATGCCTACAAGGAAGACCTCTTAATACAACTATTATTCAAATTTATGCACCAATCACTAATGCCAAACAAAGATGAGGAAATTGAAGATTTTTACCAATTTCTGCAATCTGAAATTGATCAAACATGTAGTCAAGATACATTGATAATTACTGGTGATTAGAATGCAAAAGTTGGAAATGAAGAAGAAGGATTGGTAGTTGGAAAATATGGCCTTGGTGATAGAAACAGCACATGATCGAATTTTACAAGACCAACGACTTATTCATTGCAAATACCTTTTTTCATCAACATAAATGGTGACTACACATGTGGACCTCACCAGGTGGAAAACAGAGGAATCAAATCGACTACATCTGTGGAAAGAGATGATGGAGAAGCGCAATATCATCAGTCAAAACAAGACCAAAGGCCCACTGCAGAAAAGACCATCAATTGCTCATCTGCAAATTTAAGTTGAAGCTGAAGAAAATTAAAACAAGTCCACGAGAACCAAAATACGACCTTGAGTATATCCCACCTTAATTTGGAGACCAGCTGAAGAATAGATTTGATGTACTGAACACTAATGACTGAAGACCAGATGAGTTGTGGGATAACATCAAGGACATCACACATGAAGAAAGCAAAGGTCATTAAAAAGATGAAAAAGAAAGAAAAGACCAAAATGGATGTCAGAAAAGATTCTGAAACTTGCTTTTGAATGTAGAGTAGCTAAAGCAAATGGAAGGAATGAAGTAAAAGAGCTGAACAGAAGATTTCAAAGGACAGCTCGAAAAGACAAAGTAAAGTATTATAATGAAATGTGCAGAGACCTGGAGTTAGAAAACCAAAAGAGAAGAACACGCTTGGCATTTCTCAAGGTGAAAGAGCTGAAGAAAAAATTCAAGCCTTGAGTTGCAATTTTGAAGGATTCTATGGGCAAAATATTGAATGACAAAGGAAGCATCAGAAGAAGATGGAATACACAGAGTCACTGTACTGAGAAGAATTGGTTGATGTTCAGCCATTTCAGGAGGTAACATATGATCAAGAACTGATGGTATTGAAGGAAGAAGTCCAGGCTGCACTGACAAAAAAAAACAAACCCATTGCTGTCAGTTCCGACTCACAGTGACCCTATAGGATAGAGTAGAACTGCCCCATATGGTTTCCAAGGAACACCTGGTGAATTCAAACTGCCAGCCTTTTGGTTAGCAGTTGTAGCTCTTAACCACTACGCCACCAGGGCATTGGCAAAAAACAATGCTTCAGGAATTGACCAAAGACCAATTGAGATCTTTCAACTAACAGATACAGCACTGAAAGTGCTCATTCGTCTATGCCAGAAAATTTGGAAGACAGCTACCTGGCCAACTGACTGGAAGAGATCTGTATTTATGCCTATTCCAAAGAAAGGTGATCCATCAGAATGCAGAAATTATCAAACAATATCATTAACATCACACGCAAGTAAAATTTTGCTGAAGATAGTTAAAAAATGGTTGCAGCAGTACATTGACAGGGAACTGCTAGAAATTCAAGCTGAATTCAGAAGAGGACATGGAACAAGTGATATCATTGCTGATGTCTGATGGATCTTGGCTGAAAGCAGAGAATACCAGAAAGATGTTTACCTGTGTTTTATTGACTGTGCAAAGGCATTCGACTGAGTGGATCATAACAAATTGTGGATAGCATTGAGAAGAATAAGAATTCCAGAACACTTAATTGTGCTCATGTGGAACCTGTACGTAGACCAAGAGACAGTCATTCACACAGAACAAGGGGATACTGCGTGTTTTAAAATCAGGAAAGGTGTGCTGAACAGATAATCTGAAAGCTAGACTATATGAAAAAGAACATGGCACTAGAATTGATGAAGACTCATTAACAGCCTGCAATATGCAAATGATACAGCCTTGCTTGCTGAAAGTGAAGAAGACTTGAAGCACTTACTGATGAAGATCAAAGACTGCAACCTTCAGTATGGGTTACACCTCGACATAAAGAAAACAAAAATCCCTACAACTGGACCAATAAGCAACATCACAGTAAACAAAGAAAAGATTGAAGTTGTCAAGGATTTCATTTTACTTGGCTCCACAATCAACGCCCATAGAAACAGCACTAAGGAGATCAAACAACACATTGCATTGGGCAAATCTGCTGCAAAAGACCTCTTTAAAGTGTTGAAAAGCAATGATGTTACCTTGAGGACTAAGGCGTGCCTGACCGAAGCCATGGTGTTTTCAGCCGCCTGATATGCGTGTGAAAGCTGGACAATGAATAAGGAAGACCAAAGAAGAGTTGATGCCTTTGAATTATGGTGTTGGTGAAGAATATTGCAGAAGAACAAAGAAATCCATCTTGGAAGAAGTACAGCCAGAGTGTTCCTTGGAAGCAAGAATGGGGAGACTTCGTCTCACATAGTTTGGACATGTTATCAGGAGGGACCAGTCCCTGGAGAAGGACATCATGCTTGGTAAGGTAGAGGGTCAGTGAAAAAGAGGAAGACCATAGACAAGATGGATTGGCACAGTGGCTGCAACAATGGGCTCAAACATGGCAATGATTGTGAGGACGGTGCAGGAACGGGCAGTGTTTTGTTCTGTTGTACATAGGATCACTATGAGTCAGAACTGTCTTCATGGCACCTAACATCAACAACAGAATGACCTGATGTTTCATTCTTTTAAAAAACACTCAGTAAATGGTTGTTGAGGGAAGGAGAGGTCTCAGAGGTGTTTTTATGAAAAAAGTTACTAGTTGCCACCTAGTTGGCTCTGACTTACAGTGACCTCATGTACAATAAAACAAAATGTTGCTTGGTCCTGCACCATCATCACAGTCATAGGTATGCTTGAGTCCATTGTTGTTGCCACTGTGTATTTTGAGTGCCTTTTACACTAGAGGGATCATCTTCCAGCTCTGTGTTGAATAGTGTTCTGTTGTGATCCACAGGGTTTTTATTGGCTGATTTTGCAAGTAGATCACCAGGCCTTTCTTGTTAGTCTTGTCTTAGTCTGGAAGCTCAGCTGAAACCTGTCCACTATGGGTCACCTTGCTGGTATTTGAAATACCGGTGGCATAGCTGCTAGCATCATAGCAACATGTAAGCCACCACAGTACGACTAACTGACAGATGGGTGGCAGATGGAAAAAGTACAGGGACCTTGAAGTCTGAGTTGGTAAGCCATCTTGCTTCCCAGAAATTCCTATTGCAAAGCTCCTGGTGTCATCTCCTGTAGGACAGAGGCCGGGCTCAGATGGTCCCTTGCAGAGCCAAGTGCCCCAGACCTGGAGAGCCAGCCACACAGCCCCTGTAGTGCACAGAGGAGCTTCTGCATGGGGCTGAGTTCACGGTGTCTGCGTTTGGGGCCTGCTGTCTGCCTTGTTCTGTTACATGGCCAGCTGGATTTAGAACATTCTTCTGAAACCTTTCTGCTGAAAGTTGGTGGCAGACAAGCTCAGCATGCGCTGTGCTTTGGGGACACGAGCCTACTTTTGAGGCCTCGGAACTGGGTCAGACTTGACAAGAGCCCATCTGAAGGCCTAGTTCTTTCCTTCTGCTGCGTACTGCCAGCCCGAGAAAGTGGCCTGTCGCAGGCTGTGAAGCAGCACCATGACCCCTTACCCCCACTCTGGAAAAGGCCTTTGTGGAGGTTGGACTGCACATTTGTCACCTCCTCTCTCTTCTGTGTCCTCCCCCAGGACCGGAAGCTCACCAAGCTGGAGCGGCAGCGGTTTAAGGAGGAGGCTGAGATGCTGAAAGGCCTGCAGCACCCCAACATCGTGCGTTTCTATGACTTCTGGGAGTCCAGTGCTAAAGGGAAGCGGTGCATCGTGCTGGTGACAGAACTGATGACCTCGGGGACGCTGAAGACGTAAGTGTGCCACCCTACCTGCCAGGCCTGGTGTGTGTCTCAGCCTGGGGCACCAGGGCCATGGGAGTAGGGGTTAGCTGTACAGTCTGGATGATGCATTGGGTCCACACCCCTTCTCTAGAGTATACCCGTTTGCATGGTAAGTTATAGGATGCTCCCAGCAATAGGAAGCCCCCACAAATGAAAAGAAACACAGTAAAACAACCTCGGCAGTTGCTTCTTAGCATTGGGCTTCTTCTGCCTCCATTTCTCAGAGACCACAGAGGAAATCTGTACCCCAGCTTGCTCCCCCTTTCCCCAGCATCCGACATACTGTTTCACGTGTGAGATTCTGCATGGGATGACAGATGTGCAAATGACTGGAACTGTTTACTTCCTGGGGAGCTGGTATGCTTGTTGTGTCTGGTGCTTTGTTGCTCCTGAGGTTCAGCTTCAGCCTGGGCCCTCGCCCACACACACCAATGGAGTGGGAAGTGGGCTCTTGTCAGGGCGGGACGATGGTGAGATGGAGCCCACTACCACGAGAACCTGCCTCTCTGCTCATGGACTGGACTGAATGTGCAGTCAGGCCCCTTGGGGAGGGAGTCAGCATAGGGGTCCTGATGGCCTGTCACTCTTTACCAAGAACCCTGGTCTGTGCACTATGGAGAGGGGAGCAGCCCACCTCAGAGTGGGCGCAGCCCGTGTCTGTCGGAAATGCTCCAGCTCACAGGTGAACAAGTGAGACCCTGATGTGGGCCTTCTCTCCCAGCCTTGCCTACCTCCTTCCTCCAGGGATTGGGCTCCGAGCAGACACAGCCGCCTGAGTGTAGGGGCTGGGCCTTGGGTGTTGTCCCCCAGGCCCGGCCCCTCCAGGCTCTGAGGAGTCCCCAGGACCCCATCCTGTTGCAACTAGTGTACTGGGGCCACCGGCACCCTGTCCTGATGACAGCAGTGTTGTGGCTGGGTGAGAGTTAGCGGCACTCCCCAGTGTGAGGAAAGCCGGCTGGCTGCCTGCTCTGGGCCCAGCTGTCCAGCTGCATGCCTTCAGCCTGGACAGCACTGCTTGGTTCCTCCTGTACAGGGGCATTCTCACACCGTCTTCACCTGCATGCAGGTGGCGTGCCAAGGGAGGACCTGGCCCAACCAGCTTCAGTGGAGGCTGGCAGGGGACATGCTGCCCCGCTGCTTGGTGAGTGTGCTGTGCCTCCCCCCCAGGTACCTGAAGCGGTTCAAGGTGATGAAGCCCAAAGTCCTCCGCAGCTGGTGCCGGCAGATCCTGAAAGGCCTGCTGTTTTTGCACACAAGGACGCCGCCCATCATCCACCGAGATCTGAAATGTGACAATATTTTTATCACTGGACCAACCGGCTCTGTGAAGATCGGTGACTTGGGCCTGGCCACCCTCAAAAGAGCATCGTTCGCCAAAAGCGTGATAGGTATGCCCATTTGTCCCCTCTCTGAGGCCTGGGAGCCAAGGGGAATCTGTCCACTTGCTGGAGGAGGAGATGACTGGTGCCTGCTGTCCCGCTTGGCCTTCCACACTACCCGGACTGACCTGGGCCGTCTTTCTCACTGGCCCCCTGGCAGCATGTTGGGTACAATGGCTAGTGGTCCAGGCAGGGAGGTGGGACACTGCAGAAGCGTCAGCCAGTGTGGGTGGGGAGAGTGGACGCTCAGGCTGGGGACAGGGAATGGCCTGTGGGACGACGCTGGACTGGTCTTAGCAGGCTGTGGAGGCCTGAGGAGGGGAGAACGTGGGACATTCAGAGATCAAACGTGACTAGACAAGGGGAAGAGTGAGTGTAGGGGTGGCTGGGGTGGTGGGTGCAGATGAAGGGCTGATAGGCATGCTGAGTGCCAGTTTTACATCTGTTTTTCTCATCCTTCACTAGTCAGCTCAGAGATCACTTCTCTTGGAAGCCCTCCCCACTCCCAGCCTTTTTTGGTGAGGCTCCCTGGCTCCTTGGCTGCTCTGTGGGGGACATGGCATCTGTGTCTTGTCCTTTGTGTGCCCAGCCCCAGGCAGGCGCAGTGTCCACCCTCACCCGAGGGCCACTGGACCTAGGGAGAGCTTTTTTTTTTTTTTCCTTTTTTTTTTTTTATATTTTATT